CCTCGCTACCTCGTTTGCAATCCCCTTGTTACCAGCTGTTTCTCGTTGTTGTTACTTAGTCTGATGTATTTAGGTCATTTTTAGTGTGTTGCCTGTTCCGTTGCCCTGCTTGTCTTCCCTTCGATTAAACCCCGTATTCTCCCTACCCCTGGAGTCCTGCCTTTACTTCCTCAGTCCATGCCCCACACACGTCGTGACAGAATGACTGGACTCTGCAAGAAGTAGATGACTCTCCTGACCAAGGATCAGTACCTCGGTCTCGTGAACAAGGTAATTTGTTAAATCAGGCCAAGGTCCAGAACGACCCCATGGCTCAGGTTCTAGCCGACCGGAGCAGGGACATCCTGGAGGAGATGTCCCTGCCTGAGGATGCGCACTTGGCAGAAGAGGTGTGTGACAATGTGCTGTGGATATGGAGAGGGGTAGTGGAGCAGCTTTGGTGGTTCCAGCTCCAGTCCCCCTGGTTCCTTACCCTCTGGTTCCAGTCGCCCCAGTTCCTGCTCCTGTGCCCCTGGCTTCCATCCCCAAGGAGGTCCTTGATCCCCCAGACCCTGCTCCCATGCCCCCGGCTCCCAAGACCCCAGTCCATGTCCCCGAGGAGGCCCAGGACTATTGGACCACCGCTCTTCCCCCCTTAGTGGAGGAGGAGCTCGAGTGGGATCCCTCTGGGATTTCCCTGATTGCCCGACTGAACCGCTCCGGTGGGTCACCCCAGCCACCACCTATGCGTGGCAGATCCCGCCCAGGACCTCGTCTCTCGGTGTCCCGAAGAGGGAGAGGACACCTGCGCAGGGGTCAGGTCTCACCCGCCCTGCTCCCTGGCTCGCCTTCGGTCCTCTTGGCTTTGGCTCGGTGGTTGCCTGTGGTCCCACCTGCAGTACCTCGTCGGCCCGCTGCAGTCCTGCCTCCGACACCTCGTACTGTAGGTTGCCTGCGGGACCCCAAGCTCCAACTCGTTGGTCGCCTGTGCCTTCACTGGCTGTGGCTGCGCCTTCACCTGCCGCAGCTTCTCCTCCTTCCTCATCTCCTTCAGTGTCCCCTTCTCCTCCCTCCTCACCTCCTCCATCTGTCCCTCCACCTTCCTCCTCACTCCCTTCAGCATCCCCTCCAGCTCCTGCTTCATGGTCACTGAGGGTCCCTCCTGCTCTAGCCTCGCGGTCACCTGCTGACCCTACGGCTCCTGCCTTCCACCTGCCAAGGATCCCTCCGGCTCCCTGTTTTCCCCCACCCTTTGCTTCCTTGCCCCCTGGTTTTGTGCCCCCTTCATTTGCTCCCCATCCCTCTGTGTCACTCCTGGTCCCTTCATTCCTCCAGTTGGTGTTCCCCCTGTGTCATTTCCTCTAGTGTCCCCATGTCCCGTGTTCCCCTTTTTGGTGTCCCTGTGTCTGTCTGCGTTTCCCGTGGTTTGTCACTTGTTGTCCTGGTTGGTGTCTCTGTTCCTGTTCTGTGTGTCGGTCCTGTTCCCTGTGCCTCATTGATGGTCTTGCTTTTGTTTTCTTAAGCCTTGCGATGCTCCTGGTCTTGGACCCTTGGTCCCTTTAGGCACGCCTGGAGTGCATGCCCTTTGGGGGGGGGGGGGGGGTTCTGTCATGACCTGCTCGTCCAATCCTCCCATGTGCCACGCCCCCCTCGCTACCTCGTGTGGAATCCGCATGTTAATAGCTGTTTCTCCTTGTTGTTACTTAGTCTGATGTATTTAAGTCTGCGTTTGAGTATGTTTCCCCAGTCCGGTCATTAACGTCATTTTGAGTTTGTTGCCTGTTCCGTTGCCCTGCTTGTCTTCCCTTTGATTAAACCCCGTATTCTCCCTACCCCTGGAGTCATGCCTTTACTTCCCCGGTCCGTATTATTGCGTCCTCTTTATCACTGAAAATTACACATATAAATATCATGATTATATAGCATCACAAATATATAACAAACAAACCTATTATTGGTCTTAAATATACCTTGAATACTGGATGGTCATTTTATTAATTTATTAGATAAATTTATTAGATAGTGTTTTTTAGGGTTAGGGTTGTATTTAAAATTAAGAATGTTACTTGGAATTCAATCAAATTTGATTTCCTTTGCAATAGCTTTGCAATATTATCAAACAAAGCGCAACGCTAAGTGTTAAAAGTACATTCGTCCTGTTTGTGCATCAGCATATAGTTAAAAATTTATCACTGTGGCTGAAAGTGAATTTTTAATTTATCAACATCTTCCCCTGACGTAGGGACATTACGTCCGGGGTCTTTACGACGTCTCCAAATGGCAGAAATTAATCGTTCATGAGCAATGTTACAAGCCGTATTGCTGTCCATTTGTTTCCATTATCCAAATCCATAGCGCCCCCTGCCTCATGCACTAGGCTTCGTGAGGTAGCTGACCCTGTACCGAGTAATTGATTATGGAATGACGGATGGATAGATCGCTAATCCAAGTTCAGGCGCGTAGAAAATAAGAATTTTGAGAATTCCGATATCAATGGCGCTAGATGTCGTAATGATTCATTCACGTAGAGCGACTAAAATGCATCACCGTTTCCTCAGTGAAGGTGGTTGTTTTGACATCATTCTCATCTTCATCGTACGACGTTACGTTCATCAACTGGATCTACATTAACCAAACGCTGCCGATAATATATATAATTCTTATGAGAAATAAAAAACAAGCTTGAATTGAATTATGTTAAATGTTAAACATAGTTAAATAAACCGTTATACAGTATAACCATCTTTCCAGCACGACACTGGGAGAAAGCTGTTGTTAAAGGACCAGAGATGGCCTGTTCCACGTTCATCGATACGCATTTTTTCCGTCACAAACACTTTCAGAGTGACGATGTTGCGCAGAACGTCCTGTTCTGAGCAGGTTTGCATAATCGTATTGCCTTTGATGCGTACCTTACGCCTTAGACGTGCTTGCTACATTTACCAAATTACACAGCCTGCGGCCAAGTAATATCTGAACACATTCCTCTCAGTCCTGTCTGCAAGTCCCAGCAAAACCTGAAAGCCGAGAGGACAGGAACAGAAGTGGTCCTCATCTTTTTCCTTTCTATGTTTTATTTTCCTAAGCAAACCGGGCACATGGTACTGGATCACTATCTGTGCACATAGCAAAAATGTTGAATGAATGGCAATATTATTTACTGAATAATTAAGCAAACTTTAATCCAAGTGATTGTACAATCCTGTTGTACAATTACAAACATTAACGTTTCTCGTAATTCTGCATATCACGGCTGTGTATCACACATGTGCCTCCCTGTATTATAACTTCTTTATCCCATATGCATATGTGTAGGATGTCGTCATCGGATTCGTCGGCTGAATAATGGAATTCCAAACGCTCCCTTGGCTGCTGTACTTTGGGGCCTCAGGAAATCTTTTGCAAGTTGCCAGGCGGGGGCATGGTGATTACAAAAAGACTGAATCTTCTCATAAGGAGCTGCAAACGTATTTTCCTGCTTTACTCACTCTTTAAAGAAAGCACTACATTCACCTACTTGACATGCATTGCCCGAAGTGGGCCAGTAGGCTCTTCAGAGTAGACCTACCAGGAAATAGCTGTGAAGTCTCCCGTTTTGGCCCGGAAACTACCGTATTTTACCCCTCTTTCCCGCCGTCCTCCCGTATTAGTTTTTTCCCCTAAATCTCCCAAGGATCCTGTTATAATATCATTTAAAAAAAAAAATCCTCTGCCTCTCCAAACTGAACTGTCAGTAGCCTCGCGAGAACTGCCACCTGCAGTAGTGTCTGCAGGTCATTTACAGCATTAACCAGGTCATACATGCGGAGGTTAAAATGGCAATGCTGTGTGCCAAAAACAACGTTACTTTCACATTCTGTGACGACTTCAACAAGGATACAAAGTCTGCAACAAATCTGTATAATATGTCATTAGTGAATGCCAGAGAGCCACATGAGAAATTAATAGAAAATGTGTAATGAAAATAAAATGTAAATGACAAGTGGTTATTTTAGATTTTTTGTACACCTGTCTTAAAATGTAAGGGATACTGGAGCTTGGTTGGGGTGATGGGGTGGTTCGCGGTGGGTACCGGAAAAATTCCCTTATTTTCAAATCCAAAACTTGACAGGTATGTACCAGGACTGTTTCTTGCTGGTACTGAACAATGGGATTACTAGCACCTGTTTTCCCTATTCAGGCTCTGTTGAAGAGCAACATACAGTGCCAGTCAAGATGTCATAGGCGGATGCCTGGGGCACCAGTTTCTGAGAGGGCGCCAATTTAGCAAGCCATTTTCACTTTTGTCTCAGATGGAGGAGGGGCATTCGCGGTGAAACGCCTTGTGGGCTTCGTTCAGTGCTGGCATTATTAAAACTTTTTTGTGTGTCCTCATATCTTGCGATCAATAATACAGGAAAATAAACTGTTGATTGACATAAAGGCAATGTCATGGTTCATCTAATCTAATCTAATCTAGCCTTAGGATGTTACTTTTTATTATTACAGTATGGGTCATAATCGATATAAAACTTATGTGAGACCAGTGGCCCGTTCGGATAAATTGGTTTTGACTTTAAGGTACGTCGTCAACATCGGGTTACTGAAGTCCTACATACCGAAGTGTTAACTCTGACCCCTTGTGGAATGTGCGGTAATTTAGTGTGAAAGAATTCTGTTATGCAACGTTAATTTCTTAATAATCTAATAGCTCGAAATGTACAGTGTTTATTTTTCATTTGTTGTATTAGTGTTGTTATTATTGTTGTTACTGGTTTATTCAAAGGGTATGTTAAAATTATATGAATTTTATGATAGGCCTACTGCTCCTTAACCATTACGATTATTATCTCTTTGTAGCTCCCTTATACAATTTTAAAAAATAATACACTGAATAACCCTACTGATCTGATTTACAAATCTTGGAATATGACCATCCATGCTTTTGGAAAACTGTACCGTTTTGCTGCTTCTCTATGGAATTTGGATAGTTTTGTTCTGCGCATGCTCAGATGTCAGAGACCCCGCAGTAGCTCTCCAAACACACTGCAAGCAGTAACGCAATTCTCTCTGTGGTAAGGATACCCTGTTTTACCTGTGTTCACGCACTAAAATTTTATTGTGTGAGTTCAGTCTCTTCGTAGCCACGCGGCTAGAGATTTATTGACCTAGGATAGCTAGAACAGGACACCACGAGCTGATAGGCGCAAACCGCCAACAATATGACAGAGCTCGAAAATGTAAGTTTAATTGAGTGTTAACAGCTCGAAAATGAAAAACTGCTAGAGATCCGCTGTGGTGCCCCGTGTCCACATGCTGGTGGATACCAATGGAGAGCTTTGCAAATAATAACTCCTCACCGTCTTCTTTACGTAATGTGTTCAGCATGCCCTTAACGGGGGGGGGGCTTCTGGCAACGTCGTGTTTAGTGTTTTTCAGGACTCAATTTGTTTTTCGCTCAGCCACCGTTAGTTACACCGCGTAGCCTATTAATATCCTTTTCAAACGGAAAACCAATGTAAAGCACGACATTTTGTGTATCTCCACAATGGGTTTCGCGTATACAAATTCCATAGAGAAGCAGTAGGCTAAGTCTCCTGACAACGGTACAGGTTCCCAAAAGCATTGGTTAACAGTACATTTGTTGTGATACTTGTCATAAACACCCCCATATAAATATTTTAATCCATGGAGCAGACAGCATTTTTTACACTCTGTATTGGTTTGTTACTGTTTTTCATGATAGATACCTTTTACATTAACGTAACTGACAACACTTGCAAGAGAAAAAACCATAAAAGAAGAAATGGACATTTATGTTACTCAAAGAAGCGGTTTACATTCACATCGGAAGCATTTTATCCTGTTTTATTCAGCCAGGAAGTTTTAAGTGTTTAGAGGTTTCGCAAGGGTTAAATGTTGGCCTCCTCAGAAAACACAAGGTGGTGCTGTCTGTGCACGATAGCCCTGAGTGTAAGCGGCTACAAGCCAAATGTAATAGTTTTCAAGTGGATAACAATTACTCGGCTTCTCTAAATATTCTGGAGGGTGCTTATTACTTACACTTAATCTATAAACGACCCTCTTAGTTTGCTGTGAACAACAGTTCTGCCGTAAGGATTTGCGGGGAACTTTACACGACTGTCCCGAAAAGACAATAGAGATAAAGGGATGCCCCGTTGTTAAACTCCCAAAAATGCAAAATGCAGAACAGCAGGATCTGAGGTTGGCACGGAAATTCCGACCGTTTCGGTTACCAGGTGGACAAAGTACGTAAAGAAAGTGATCCCAGTAATAGTGACTTATTACCCGTAAGTCGCCGAATTACATTGCATTACATTTCTGAACATTCACTGAACTGTCTTACCACCTCCAGGGACAGATTAATGTAATACATGAAAAATTGCGACTATCGCTGTCACAACACTTTAGATACGCAGATAAAATGCTTTTTTTCACTCTCCTCCTGTGACAATTATCGAGAAATCCAAATCGTCCAGTTTTAGTTGGGTGTAACACTTCATGGCAAAGAGGTGCTTTGAGGTCCCTGGTTATAATGATCCCCATGTAGGACCAGCCTAAACAGATAATGGCAGAGCCCGGTCAAAATGGAAATGTAAGTGTGACCCATAATTAATAATAGGAGAAAAAGTCACCGGATATAGGCCTACCTGCGTTTGGTGAGAGTTATGTAACCAAACCGCAGAGAGGCAGTGAAATTAATAGATAGGTATTACTGTGTATGTCTGTGACTGTGTAATGTAGGCCTATTTATTATGCGCGTGCTTATGTTTTGTGTGTGTATGTGTGTATTGTGTTTATATTACATTGTGGGGACCAAATTTTTCCCACAATGTAATAAAAACTTATTATTTTGACGTTGTGGGGATCATTTTCCAGGTCCCCACAAAGATCAGTGAATGCAATCAAAAAACGAATGTCTGCCAAAAGTCTGTATTTTGTTTAGTTACTTATGGTTAAGGTTAGGGCTGGGTAGGGGTTAACGTCGTCACGTTGGGATTTCAGTTTTCCCCATTGAAATGAACGGAGAGTCCCCACAAAGATATAATTACAAACCTGTGTGTGTGTGTGTGTGTGTAGGCTGATAAAGACGCCGTCCATCTCCGGACATTAACACCCCGCCTCCCGACGGTCCCACCCCCGCGCCGGCTGCGCCATGTTACGCCGCTATGCCGTTTGCATTTGCTGTTACAGCGGCGAGAAAAGTGAGCTTGCTGGTGGGGGGACAGCAAAGAGGATCGGCGGTGTCCGTGTACGGACGGAGGAGGGAACGCTGCTGTTTTTTTTTAATCCCAATTTTGGGCATCGGATGTAATTCCAGGGCCGTCGCTCATATGGGATTGTGAGCATTGCACGCATGGCTTAAGATGACTGGGTGCAAGCTATAGCCGTATTTTCTCGCCCCCCGGGAGCCAGGAGGCCCTGCGGTGACTGTCTGAAGCTCGGGTGATGAGGGTTTTTGTGGAGCTACGGACGATGAATTGAACTGGGATTATATTCAAGCCCTCTCGTTTTTTCCTTCCCCCGCATATAAATTGGACCCCCCCGGATCTGTTTATGTAGGTAAGCATTTGCGATCGTATATTGCGTCCCGTTTCGCTTTGATTTGTAATTTCCTTTTTTTTTTATCCTTGGGAGGGGGGTGTGTTGGCTTTAGTTACAAATACTGTTTACGTCTCTGGCTGTCGACTGCAAGTAAGTTGCGCTTGGTGGACACGGTGCGCGCTTTAATCCGTATTTATGTGGTGCGCCTAAAATATGGTATTTTCTAAGGTACAGCACGGAAAATTGCTAGGTGCATCCCAGCCTATGTTGGCATTTTCTCTGCATGTGCGCCTATTCTTGTGTGAGCCCGGAATATTGATGATGTATGTACGCATCTGCATGGTTAAATCGCTGTATTGTGGTGTACTCGGTTAAATTGACTAGTTCTGAACTGTAGTTAACGATTCAGTCAGCTTTTAGTTAGTAGGTTGCAAGTTATTTAAACGACTGTGTAGTTGCGCTGTGGTGCATAACCTATTTTGAGCCAAGCACTGTCCTAGTTATCTCAAAAAAGCGGTCATTAAAACTCTCCAGGTTAGTTTGCACTGGCGTTAAATTATGTCAGCCAGATAAAGACATTTATTGCGTCTGCTGTCACTGTTTTTAACGGGGTAAGACTGCGTCAGTGCTTTCTATGTTGTATTATCTTTACGAAGGTGTGATTACAACAGTGTTAAGTGGTGCCCAGAAAGGACACAAAATTTATTGTCTTTTTTTAGATTAAGGAATTAGCCAATTCATGGGCTGTAACAGCCTCACTGAGCCACGAGTAGCCTAATTTATGAGTGAAATATAGTGCATTGTGCTTTTCCTGGAATGACAGTATGGTAATTCAGAACTTAGAATTGCGTACATGCGTTTAATGAGATCAAACATGACCTCACATGAAGCACAGACGCCGTTTTTGGAGGGATCGGTGGCTCTGGTTTTCCCTGGAAGTGGGTGGATTTTATCCGCGTACACCGGCACAGCTTCCGGGGGAGGGGGGTGGGGGGTGGGTGGCGTAGCATCTCTTTGAGAAGGTGGTCTTCATTGACATATCCAGCCTCCATGCAGCAGACATTTATTTCAGTGTTTCAGCTTATCGAAGGGTGATATTTCGCCAGTTTGTTTCATGTTATTAATGTTGGCCCAGGGTACACTGTCACACCTTCTTTTGGAAGTTTACTGTGTCTGCTTGAAGGCTGAGTGTCTCAGTCAGCATCAAACCAGCAGGACTCTGGCCCCTGGGTGGAGGTGTGGGGTGACAGTGACATCATCCTTGATAGTGGCCGATATCTCTTCAAAGCCTTTCCGAAGCAGTGGTAAACGTGCCTCTAATTCATCCTATTATTTTATGCACATGCACCCAGTCTGCCTGTATTCATTATTGGAGGCTGAGATGTTAAATGGGGGGTGTTTGTGAGGCTGCAGTGGGGGTCAGCTGGCAAACGGTGCGGAGCTGGGGGTGGGCAACACCTGAGCCAAGCCCCCTGCAGTGGGGGCAGGTGTTTGGATGTGCAGTGTGGGGGGGACGACCAGTTGATTAGGGTGGAGGGCAGGATAGGGGGGCCCAAGGGTCTTTTTTTTTTTTTTTTTTTTTCTTTCTTTCTTTCCCTGGGGGGTTTCTTGGTTATTACCATGAGGGTGTGTGTGTCTGTGAGGGGGGCTGCTGCACAGCTTTGCTTTGTCTGTGGGCTCATTAGTCACACCCATATCATTCAGAATTAAAAATATTTCCTCCAGTCTCGAAAAAATTCTCTTCTGCTGCCCAGTAACCTACAACCAGGTACATTAGGCTGTCATGAGGAAATGCAGCCACAGTGGAAATGCAGAGGTGTGCACCTGCGTGACAGTTTAGGATCTGTGACTGTTTTTTAGGGCTTCAGGCTTTTGGCTTTAAAAGTCAACTCCATTTGCTTTGCCCAGATCACCTGCATGGCTGAGCACTGTTATTTTGTTTTGTTTATACATTATCTTCTGCACTGGCCTTCCAACAATAGCGAACGCACAAGGTATAAAAACACACAAATCTGGTTTTCTGTACCATCTTTCATTTTTTGGCTGCCAGACAGACACCGAAGACTTTTGAGTGTCCGTCAGCGTTTCAGCAAGGGAGGTTTATTTATATATTTTTTCCCTCCTTTTTTCCCCTCTTCCCTTGTCAGAGACGTGCTCAGCTGAACTTCATTTACCTACTACCTTTTCTGAGTGAGAGGGTATTTCAGATGGTTGACATCCCTTTTTCTTGACAGGTAATCCAAGCACTGCCCCGTTAATGAAAGCCCTTGTCACGACCTTGGCACTGTGTCACCATTCTCAGTCCAACCAGGTCCCATATGGCTGCTTTGGTCTTTATTCCATTTGAACAAAATCTGGTTTTTCCTTTGTATTGTGAAGGGTCAAAATAGCATCCAATCACTTACGAGTAGGATCGGCACTGGAGCCCAACCCTGCCAAGACAGGGCACCACTCTGGCTGTGATCGCACTCACAGCAATGTTTATTGGTGCAAGGTCGCTTAGCTACATGGTCATGGTTTTAGGACCTGGAGATCGTGCAACCTCCACTCACACAGACTGGAGGTGGGATTTGAACCATCAACTCTAGAAATATGAGGCAGCAGCACCAGTCGTCTGTAAAGTACAAAGCACTGGTGTCCATCCGAGCTGTTCTGCCAACTTCGCAGTCGCCCTTCCGGGCATGTTTTTTGAAAAGCAGCATTTGATTGTAAATGTGATCTAAGCCATCCTGTCCTATGATTGACTGCAACCTCATCCGTGCACCCAAATATTACAGTTGGGTAGACCCGGAAAAATCCCTTCCCATTTGGACAGAGTTGGGTTACATAACTCCAGATTTTGTGAAGCACACTTCCTGAAAGGAGTGACTGATATTGTATAACTGGAATAGTTTTGACGAAGGATTGATTATTTGCAGGGAGTGGGGGCAGGAATCGTTAGGTTCTCCTTTGGGCTGACATATCCACATGTTGGAAATGGTGGGGCAACAGGTGAGGTTTACAGGCCCCTGTTTCCATGGTAGCAATCGCTGGTGTTCTGAGTGTGAAGCATCGTGGTTTTCAGAAAATGCACCAGGAAACAGTTCTGCATGCTGCCTGTAGATGGCTGGGCGGGATTGTCAGATTTACTGCATTCTGGAGGCCCTCCGCCTCATTTCGGAGAAGCAGCCGGCCCCGCTGATGTCACAGACGTGGCCCAGGTTTTGCATGCTCAGATGGTGGGTGTGTTCGTCACCCTGATATTTCTGAGGACTGAGGGTGAGGCTTCATAGAACCATTACACCCATCTGACTTCACGCCTTCCTTTTCCTGCCACACAGTGTGCATGTGGGGGGGAGGGGTGATATGCCATGGGGGAACTCAGTCAGAAAGAAAGAGAGAGAGAAAAATGAATCAGTCCTGCAGTAACATAAAAAGGGGGAATGGCAGATAAAGATGGACAGAAGGAAGGAGGGACCTGATTACCTGCTGGGGGGCTACTAGGGACACACTCACGCAGGCAGGTGAGGAGACTGGACTCTGCATGCATCAGTGGGTTTCAGGCAAGGAAGGTGGGGTGGGGGGTAGGTGTAGGGAGAGAGAAACATGAATGAATTGCGGGTACTTTAAGAATGAATGAATGAGTGATGAGGGTGCCGGAGAGGGGAGGGATGTGTCAGACCCACTCCCTGCCACTGTGGGGATGGGGGGATGTGAGGGTGTGTAATGTTTAAATCTTAATGATAAAGCATTTTATTATTTCTGGGAGGAAATAGGAAATGGCCACTTTAGCATGTCTGTGTGGTGACCATCCCCCACATGTCCTGTTCTGCACTTGTGTATTTTTTAGCAACCTGGGAACTCTGAGGAGGATAGGCGGTGACAGCCTCCCTGAGCTAGGATGGGAGGGTTGAGATAAAGGGGATGGGGCAGAGGCGGTGTTGCTGTACGATGCAGGATCCGTGCTGCCGTCGCTGGGTCCCTGCAGTTCGGAGCAGAGCTCAGAATGTTTGAAGTCCTGAAAAGTGAGAGGAGACGGTTACTCACTCCCCACTAAAGACTTGTTAGTCCCGTCGGCACACTGCATTTTCGCAGCGAAGACCCTAAGTGCTGTAGAAGGTGTTTCGCATGAATCGGAGGCTGTTACGTCAGGTGAGAGCAATGCTGACGTCTGTCCTACATCTGGACAATGGTGACTCCCAGGTCAGGGCGGGGTGTGGAAGGTGTTGGTTTTTAATCTTTTTTGGGAATATCTTTTTTTTTTTAAATTTTTTTTGCTCAAGAGAGCGGCAATGAATGTGCTGTCGGCTGCTTTATTTGTCTTGCAGGAAGTGGAAAGCGAGTCACATCACAGAAACCAAGGGGCAACAGCACGTGTTGATGATGATCAATATCTGATGCGCTTTTTGGTAACCGCGTATCTGGGCAGGCCTGCGGTATCAATGTGTCTGGAGACTCAGATGTATGCCATTCCCCAGCCAGTTCAGTGCCACAGTCTCATGTCGGGGGAACTTAACTTACCGTAAGAGTAATTGTTGTTCTTGATGGAGGTTTGTAGAGGGAAAATTTGTGGGTTAGGATGCTGGTTTAAATAACTGGCCCGTCTGATGCTGCCACGGGGCCCTTCAGCATGGCCCTTAACATCCAATTGCTCCAGGTACTGGCTGACCTTGCTTTCTCAAAAAATGTACATTGCTGTAGATTAAAGCATTTGCTAAATAAATGTAATTTTCCATGCTTTATGTGTGAATGTGCACCCATTAAGGAGCACCTGTACCCTACAGGATCCATCCCTCTGCCTCTCATTGGCTCAGGTTTTGCCAGATTTGATATCCTTTAATTTGGGGAGGAGGGGTTAGTCAGCCTGTTTTTGACAGGCGGGGTCATTTCAGGGATAGCTGTGCTATCATGCAGTGTGAAATGGAAATTGAAAAAGCAGTGAATAGTTTCTTATTCCATATGGGGGTAGGGGGGGATATGACACAGTGGGGACCAATCGTAACTCTTTTGTTTTCTTGGAAAGCTGACATCGTAGTTGC